AGCTACTCCACCCTCCTCCTCCTCCTCCCCCTCCTCCTCCTCCTCCTCCTCATCACCACCACCACCACCACCACCACCACCATCACCACCACCACCACCACCACCACCACCACCACCACCACCACCATCATCATCATCATCATCATCATCATCATCATCATCATCATCTGAATCATCATCATCATCTGAATCATCATCATAATCGTCATCAATATCCTCATCATCACCATCATCATCATCATCATCAGCAGCATCATCATCATCAACATCATCATCATCATCATCATCATCATCATCTTCATCATCATCATCATCATCATCATCATCATCATCATCATCATCATCATCCTCATCCTCATCATCATCCTCATCGCCGTCATTATCATCATAATCGTCCCCTCCCCTCATCATCGTCCCTCCTTCCACTCATTATCATCATCATCCCTCCCCTCCCGTCCCTCCTCCCTCCCCTCCAGCCCATCCTGTTGCCGCTGCTTCCCTTTCCGCCCCCCAGAAGACATAAAGAGAGCGAGGAAGATAGAGAGACAGAGACAGAGACAGAGACAGAGACAGAGAGAGAGAGACGCACGCACGCAAGCACGCACAAACGCACACACGCGTTCTGGCGGCCGCATGAAACGTAGACTGAAAGAGAAAACGCGCCGCATTGAATAGCAATATCCCTAATGAACCTTGGTGAACCTTGAGGAAGACGCTCAAGACGGCCCCCCAGGCCCCCCAGACGGCCCCAGACGGCTCCAACAGACCCCCCCAGACGGCGAGTGGGACCCCAGGATGGCCCAAGAGGGCCCCCAGGCCCAGACGGGGGGGAATCGGGGGGAGGGGTTGGTTGGTTGGTGTGGGGGGGGGCTGGGGGGCCAGACCCGGTGTCCTTCAACAACAACAGCAACAACAACAACAACACCAACAACAACAACAACCATTTTAAGGCTGTACGCTCTTACTTGCCCGCGAGTCATTCAACACGTATACCCTACACCCTCGATGCCCGCCCTCTTCGTCTTCGATCACACCCCTTTCGGAGGATTATTTCTCTTTGCTGGGGCCGGCGGACTTAGACGTACGGGCAAACCGGAACGGGCGGACAATCCTTCGGGGGCGTACATCTCTCTGCCCGCCATTGGAATTGGCGCGGGCCCTGCAAGAGGAGGAGGGGAAGAACGAGGGAGAGTGGGAGGAAGGGGAGGGGGAAGGACGAAGGAAGAGGGAAGATACCACGTTGTGAAGGCGTCCTTGGCGCGCGCGTGGTTCCTGAGCGCCGAAACGCAATTCCAGAATAATTTGTGAGGACGTCGCACGCGAGAGCGCAGTCCTGAGTACATTGTGAGGAAATCTCAGGCGGAAGCGGGGGCCCTGACTAAGTTGCGAGGAAGTCTCAAGCGGGAGCGCCGTTCCTGAGCAAATTGCACGGAAGTCTCAGGCGGGAGCGGGGGTCCTCACTAAATTGCGAGGAAGTCTCAGGCGGGAGCGCCGTTCCTGATTCAATTGCGCGGAAATGTCAGACAGGAGCGGGGGTCCTGAATAAAATTCGAAGAAGTCTCAGGCGGGAGCGCCGTTCCCACGTAAATTGCACGGAAGTCTCAGGCGGGAGCGGGGGTCTTGATTACATTGCGAGGAAGTCTTAGACGGGAGCGCCTTTCCTGAGTAAATTGCGCGGAAGTCTCAGGCGGGAGCGGGGGTCCTGAGTAAAAATCGGGAAAGTCTCAAGCGGGAGCCGTTGTGGTTGTAGCCCGGGGGGCAGGGGCACAGTTTGAGCAGGCAGAAGCAGGGGCCCTGACTAAGTTGCGAGGAAGTCTCAAGCGGGAGCGCCGTTCCTGAGCAAATTACAGGGAAGTCTCAGGCGGGAGCGGGGGTCCTCACTAAATCGCGAGGAAGTCTCAGGCGGGATCGCCGTTCCTGAGTCAATTGCGCGAAAATGTCAGGCAGGAGCGGAGGTCCTGAGTAAAATTCGAAGAAGTCTCAGGCGGGAGCGCCGTTCCCACGTAAATTGCACGGAAGTCTCAGGCGGGAGCGGGGGTCTTGATTACATTGCGAGGAAGTCTCAGACGGGAGCGCCTTTCTTGAGTAAATTGCGCGGAAGTCTCAGGCGGGAGCGGGGGTCCTGAGTAAAAATCGGGGAAGTCTCAGGCGGGAGCCGTTGTTGTTGTAGCCCGGGGGGCAGGGGCACAGGTTGAGCAGGAAGACTTTCCTTGAGAAAAAACAAGGTGCGAGCCCCGGGGGTGGCACTTCAATCTAAAAAATCAATGTGCACCGGTGGGGGGGGATCAAGAATAATTATTCTTCAAGAATGAGAGTTCAACAACAACAACAACAACAACAATCACTTTACCCGAACGCTCAGTGTTCTCACCAGTGCCAGGGTTTTCATGCGACGCCAGCCAATACCCCCACTTTGTGGGGGGGCAGTGCAAGCTCTACCAAATATCCACACGACTCTTCGCCACCACCCACACCCAGCTTCCCGCCCTATGACGTTCGGACACTTCACTTCGTGGCCTGCGGACGACCGTGGCTACTACACTGGCGTGGAGTACACACCCACAGAAGTTGTTAAGCCTACGTTCGTACACCCACAGAAGTTGTTAAGCCTTGTTAGAAATTTTGAAAAGTCGTGCAGGTGTTTTTCGAGGACCTACGGTGCGATTCGTGTGATTTTATGATGCGCGGTGCTAAAATTCTTAAGAAGCCCAATGGTTTTTGGAGATTTCGGCGTGCGCGCGCGAAGAAAAAACGAATGTGTCCCGCATGGTATTATTTGACAGGGATGATGGCCCTGGCAGGTGCGCAACCGTTGTCGCAGAAGTTCGAAAAAGTTGCTCGCAAAAGCCCGTTTGACAGAAATGTTTAAAAAGTGTTGGGTTTCCTACGAATCCGCAAGAGCGCGCGGGATGAGATTTTGACATTTTTTTGTTGAAAAACCATTGGTTTTTTGATGTTTTTATGTTAAAATCGCTCCGAACACTAAGCTTTTGGAAGGATTTCGTCTTGCGCGCGCGAATGTCCACTTTACCTTATTTTTTGCAAGGGATTCTTGAAATTTGATTATATTAGAACAAGAAATGTCATTTTATAGTGTTTTTTGCAAGGGAAAGCGGGGGGGAACAAAACAACCGGATCTTGATCACATCGAATTACCTGAGGCTTCCTCACGAAAATGATGAAAATGTAGCTGCGGCCTAGGCGGCGCAGGGGGGCCGTGCACCAGGGGTCCCAACAATAATTATTCTTTAGAATTAATAATGTTCAACAACAACAACAACAACGATTCCCGCCTGATACATCCTCACAATTTATTTCAACATCGCGGTCTCGCGCGGGACTTCCTCGCAAAGTATTCATGATTCAGACGCCGCGCCCTCGACACTAAGGAATCGCGCTCTCGGTTTGGCCTTTCTCACGATTTACTACGGATTCGCTCTTGCGCTCGAGCTCTTTCTCCTTGCGATTCATGCAAGATTCACGCTTCAACGACACGCCTGCTCGACCTGGCCGCTTGGGCCCGCCTTTCCGACCCGCTTGTTAGGCTCTACCCACCCGCCCGTAGGGTTCTGCCATGTGCTTTCTACTCCGAGTCCCCCTCCTGCTAATCCCGTGCTCCATCCTTCTGCTTCGCCTTCCATCCGTCTTCCATTCCCCTGTTTCAGGGGCTGCACCAACTACACGCGGCATGTGAGGAAGATAGTTCCCCAGGGGGTACGATCGAAAACGAAGAGGGCGGGTACCGAGGGCTTGGTATATACGGATTGAACGGCAGGCGGGCAAGAAAAAACGAACACTCTTAATATGAATGTTGCTGTTGAAGCTAGCCTTGTTGTTACACTACTTCTTGTTGCTGCTGTTGCTGAAGATGCTGTTGTTGCTATTATGGATTGAGTATCGTTTGCCATCCCCACCGGCGTGGCCTGGGCCCGACTGGCCGATTTACCCTCCTAGATAGGGGATATAGGTCGTTCCCTTCTAGTTTCGAGAGGTGTATCTCCAACTGGGGTGGTAATTTGGTGGGGGTCTCGAAGGGGATGGAGATGGAAATGGGGATCGGATAAACGATACCGATGGTTGATGGTTCTTGGTTGTTTGTTGTCGTCGTCACGCCAGCGACCCGGCCCGCGACCCGCCAGGGACACAAACGAACCATCCGCGACGCACCTGCGACCCACCTGCGACCCACCCAGCGACCCCCCGAGGACACACCCGCGACCCACCCGCGACCAGCCCCGCGACCCGCCCGCGACCTTCCCGCGACCCACCCGCGATCCACGGAGCGACCCGCCCGCGACCCACCCGCGACCCACCCGCGATCCACCCACGACCCACCCTCGACACACGCGCGACCCACGCGCGACCCACCCGCGACCCACCCGCCACCAGCCCCGCGACCAACCCCGCGACCCACCCGCGACCCACCCGCGACCCAACTCGCGCCCGCACTCTCACTCTTACCCGCAACTGCGGGGTGCTAACGATATGTTTATATATATATATGTAGATATATATATGCCAGGCAATCAGCTGCGTGCTATGTGTGTATATATATAGATATACTTATACCAAGCACGATGTTAAACACACACACACACAAACACACACACACGCACACACACACGTTCTCCATACAAGAGGTCACCTCTTCCCGTCAGAGCGCCTTCTGTCGGGATCATGTTTTCAGTACTCTCCCAACACGCTGCTCGGAGCTGAGGATGAAGCTAGGCGGCGGTGGGAACATGCAAAAGTCTGGCAAGTTGATCGTACATGCTCTGGGCACATGCGTGTTAACGAATTCGGTAAAAAAAGACACCCAGAGCGGAAATAAAAGCTGCTCGAAGACCGAGGACACCGTTGCGTTCCACTCACCGAGAGGCGACAGCTTCAACGCCACCCCCCGACTTCGCTGTGCAACTAGTCACAGTCGGACTACCGTCAAGCACATGCAAAGATCAAATAAAAAACTGCCCATGCGAATTGCACGTGCGAATTGCCCGTCACTGTACGACGGATGGTGGGTTCTCAAGCAAGAATGGCGACGGCCTCTTCTTCAAAGGGGCCTGCATGTCCAACCTGAGGGCACCAGTCGCGCTCACAAACAATGGCTTCTTCTTAGCAGGAAGGCCAAAATTCAACGAACTCGCGAATTGTTTCGAGTCGTCCGGAAGCGCAACCTTCATTGGGCTGTCCTTCGCCACTGTCGCGGCTGTCCATGTTTTGTCCGTCTCCCAGCAATCCACCTGCGAGATTGTATGAGGCTCCAGGGGTTCTCGGTGGCATAAGGTTACAAGAATCGCACAGGGTGTCCTGTCAGCGACGGCGAGAAAGATTAACACAGCCTGACTAAGACTCTCTTACTGACATTGGCCGATCAACCCCATGCGAGGAGGAAAGATCGACCGTCTCTGCAGCCATGCTGCAATGAAGCATGACCCGATCTCGAGAGGAATACGTTTCAATCAGATCCCGACTTCAAAAACGCGGAAGCTCCGAAGCCTAGAAACAGCGCCCAAAACACGCAAACATATATCCTCGATCCTGCTCCTCCTCCTCCTCCTCCCTCCTTCCTCGCTCCCTCCTCCTCCTCCTGTTCCTGCTCCTCTTCTTATTATTTTATGTGTTTCGTCTTGTTATTCCTCTTACTCTTCTCTTCCTCCTCCTCCTGCTCCTTCTCCTCTCCTCCAACCCTTGTAAGGCACATTCGAAGGACCTTGTCTGTCGCACCACCCCGCATTCTGGACCGGGCCAGCCACATCCCGCCCCTCCCCCCCTGTAGCGCCACGCTTCGTGCCGGCGCCGTCAAGGGATGGACGAAGGCAGATCTGGCCCAAACGGCACCTGCACAAATCGTGCCGTTACCGCCCCCCCCCCACACTCGCCCCCTCCCGTTTCCGCCCGTCAGCGCTAGACCCAAGAAACTCGACGCTTTGATCTTGTTCGCCGCGGGGGAACCCAGACCTCTCGACCACATCCCCAAAGCAAAACTGATCCATCCCGAATCGCTTCTGACGGCGAAGCGTTTCTGACGGCCCCGAAGCCTGAAGCTGGCCGCGTGAGGCAAAACATAGCGGCAGCCAACCGCCCAGACCTTTCCGAAGCGCCCGATGTCTCGGGAAGGTGGCCAGAAAAAGATAGAGACCCTTGCGGCTGAAGGACCCAGAACAGCTTCGCACATGTGCAATTGGCGCCACGAGGGGGGGCCCGATGGATGGCTACGATCAGAGGATCGGGATGGAGATGGGGATAGGGGCAGGGCTAGGGAAAGAGACTGGATATAGAAAGTATCGGGATAGGGATAGGGATATAAGATCGGTATATGGACGGAGGAAATAGGAACAGACGGATGGGGACGGCAACCTTGAGTGTTTTCTAGCAAATTGGGCAGGTGTGCCAATCTGGCGGCTATGTTGTCGCCGTCGCTGCCCGGTCGCCGCCTCGTCGCCGCCCGCCGTCTGGGCCGGCGCGCCGACCTGGCAGCAGTGTTGCCTTCGCCACCGCGTCGCAGCCTCGTCGCCGCCCGTCATCTCGGCCTGTCTGTCGTTTCGGCGGCTATGTTGTAGCCGTCGCCGCCCCGTCGCCGCAACCTAGGGTACCCCGCACAGATTGCACAACGTCGGCTTCCCTCCCTAGGGGAGAAATTCATTTCTACCCCCATCTCGCCCCTGGGTTTATCCGTTGTTGGTTTCGTTTGTGAATTCATATAAGATCCTGACCCCTCGTCCATCCCAGATACGAATTCAAACCATCCCAGCAAAACCGACCGGTATCGACCCCCCTTATTCTCTGCAGCTGATACCATTCATTCATCACGAAGTACAAATGTTTACGACTTCCTGGCAAAAACAACAGAAGGAGCGAAGAACGCACACGCGTGTCGTCGCGCGCGCATTCCAGGATCCTTCAAAAACTCGAGTTCCCGGAAGGGTGTCAACATCGAGAATCATGGAAAATAAATAACATGGCCTAACAACAAGAGTGCCCCCTAAGAAATGCACTCGCACTCTTGCGATGTCTTAAACAACCATGTGTTGTTCAACTTCTGTTCAACGAATTCTACCGAACGGGCCTCTCACGCGCATGTCGAGATCATAAAAACTCCCTTGCGGGCGCGTTGTCGCAGAATCTCTGGCAACAAATTGAAAGACGTGCGCTCGCGTCGTCGCGGGCGCACGCTGGAATCCTTCAACAGATCTCAGGTTTCGCAAAAAAAAATCCATAAACGAACGCCCCGAGCACATATGAAACACACATGGTTTTGCAACGTCCGTCTCCCCCTACAAAAATGCTCGCGGTCCTGCGGACTCTGAAGAAAGCCGTCGGTTTTCCAACTTTGTCATCTCCTCATGCGAAGCGGGCCTATCGCGCCGCATGCCGAACTCATTCGAACGCCATTGCGCGCGTGCTGAGGGGCACGATCCGTCTCAAATGATACCACGCGCGCCACTCGCGGTCGTCGGCCCAGCGCGCATGTCGAACTCCTTGAAAAACATGCGTCGCCGACGCGAGGACATCATCATCGCTATCGGCGGGCGTAATCAACATCGCCGCCGCCATTGGTTTTGCCATCGTCATCGCCACCATCGTCAACATCATCGGAACTCTCAGAATCGCGTGAACAGTTGCTGGCGTCGCCTTGACACCGCGCCCACCCAAGTCACCGACTCGAACGGAAGTGCCCGCTGGGAAGTGCCCAGCGGTCAGCGCCAACGCGGCCGCGTCGGTATCGCCAAACTACCTGGCCGCTGCGCGCGCGAACATGCGCGGGCTAGCGCGGCCGCAGAGATGCGCCAGCCAACGCCAGGCACCCATCGCAATCGCCGCCGCATGGGTTTTGCAAATCAAGTTGCGGGTGGGTGTATAGGGTTTTTTGTACAAGCGCGGAATGTGACAACTCGTTTGTAAACATCAGAGGTACCATACATGTATGTGTATATGTATATGAATCGTGCACTACACATGTGTCTATACAAGTGGCACGTGCGTGCCCAGGCTCATACAAGTGATGCAATATGGGCTGGCGGAGTGAGCGAAGCGATTACCAAGAGAAGTGTAAGCACGATTCCCACCAGCCGATTTGTTTCACCAGACAATTTGTGGAGGGAAAGAGAAGGAGGAGAAGAGAAGGATAGCTACTGGGAGTGAAATGCAATAGCGAGGCCGCACTCGAGCGCAAGTGGGGTTGCCACACCTTGCGATGTGTGTACCAAGGCCCCCCAGGAAGCCTCAGGAGGCCCGACTTGGATACCGGAACAGGCTCCAGGAGGCCCCAGGATTGCGAGTGTTGTGTGGGTATGGCATGTGCTCTGTGTTGTGCGTGTCTTCTGTGCGTTGTAGGTGTTGTTTGTCCAGCGTGTGATGTGTTGGGTGTGATTTGTGTCTCTGTGTGTGCATGTAATTCTGAGGCCCCAGGAGGTCCAGGAGGCCCCAGGCAGCCTCAGGCTGCCCCAGGAGACCCAAGGAGGCTCCAGCAGGAGGCCCCAAGAGGCCCAAGAGGCCGCAGGAGGCCCCAGGAGGGCCCAGGAGGTTCCAGGAGACCCCCAGGAGGCTCCAAGGTGGAGTCTGGGGTACCAGAAGGTACAGAAAGCACCAGGAGGCCCCAGGAGGTTCCAGGAGGCCCCCAGGAGGTTCCGAGGCAGGGTCTGGGGTACCAGAAAGTACGTCGGGGCTCAATGTTTGGAGGATGTCTCAGGCGAAACCGCCATTCTCTGAGAATCGGGGTCAAGCTTATTGAAATTACAATGTGTTATTGCAGGTTTTATGTTAAACTGTTGAAATTCCCATGTGTTGTTGGACCCTGACGTCACGATATGTGTGAAGAGTGCCACCCATTTTTCAGAATTTCGAGGATGTCCCTAGCGGAACGGCCAGAAAAAATCGCGAACAACGCGGCGCGTACGCATTCATCGCCTCTGAGCTCTACTCCCTCGGAGAGGTGCGTATGATAATACATGTATACATATATATATATATGTATATATATATATATGTGTATATATATATATATATTCCATTGCGTAGATTGCACCACATAGATTGCTCCATATAGATGGCACGACACAAGCTGCACCACATCGATTGCACAACATGAATTGCAGCACGTAGGTTGCACAGTATTGCTTGCACACCGTAAATTGCACAACACATATTGAATGACCTAGATTGCACTACACACATTACTCCACGCGCATTGCACTGCATGTGTTGCACCACATGGGTTCTACCACATAAATGGAATCACGTACATTGCCCCACATCGATTACACCATACATGCTGCCCGCGCGGACTTCTTGGGACAGCGCTGCCCCTCCACCGGTGCGCGGAGCGTGGCAAGGGCGGCGCCAGGAGGAGTCACTGGGGTGGTCCAATGCCGACCCAAGAAATCCGCACGGACATCTGACATCGTATGTTCATGAAGTTGTTCAAAGGAAAAGCCCAAGACCACAGCCACCGAGAACCCACCGAGGGGGGGCCGACCCCTGGGAGTTGAAACGCATGGGCGTCGTCCTGTACTGGGTGGCGCTCGGGCGGGCCACCGCCCAATGGCCCCTCTTTCTCATCTGAGATCCAAAAGAAAAGATTCCGATACCGCCAGTCTCCAGACCTCTCCCAGGATGCATTCGGAACAACATTTCGGGGCGAACCCCCCTCCGTGGCGACGAGGGCTCTCCAGGACGAGTAAGTAGCGGTATCGGTCTGCTTTCCTCCCCTGAGAGCTCTTCCTGCTGGAACAGCAGAAACAGGCCCTCCCTCCAGGAGAGCCCAGAATCGAATCGGTGAGTCGGATCGGCGATCGACATGAATCGGATCCGTGGAAATCGGCAGCCGAGTCGGGAAAAGTCGAATCGGCGGAAATCGGCAGGCCATCACGCGTCCAATGAAACATCGGAACCCGAATCGAAATCCCAAGTCGAATCAAATCGGAATCGGAATCCATGGAAATCGAATCGAATCGAATCGGGGGAATCGAAATGAGCCCCGGAAACAGGCCCCACCTCTGGACTCCTCGACCCAAACCCCGACGTCATGATGTTTTCATGACGCGACCCCCGGAGGTCCAGACCCATTCCCCGGGACCGGCTCTTCAGCCCGAGTCGTTCCTGGACGAGGCCCCGAGGCCCCGCCAGGGCAACCAGAGGCCGACACTGGCGCAAAACACATCTCGTCGCTGCTCTTTCTCGCAGCGCGAGGGGCTCCGGGGAAGCCAGGCCCCGCCTCGGGACTCCTCGGCCCAGACTGGAGCTCCTCGGTGTCCGCGCAGGACGTCTCTCCGTCCGCCGCCGTGGAGCCTCAGGGGCGCAGGGCAGGACATACGGCGGCCCCGGCCGAGGGCTCGCCCCCCGGGGGCCATGGGCCAGGGCTGCTCTGCACGACGGCGGTGCTTCTCCACGAGGCTTCGGCTTCGGTTGCTCCCATCGCACTCGATTGAGGACCACATCCCAGGGACAATTTCGAGCACCCAGGAACAGAAGTATCGAGGCAGTGTCGAACGAGCATCGCCTCCCAGGGCCGGACACGCGAAACCCCTCCAGCTTCGGTGCTTCCCTGGTGCTCGAAATTCTGTCCCGCGGTCGTGGCTGCAGTAGGGTTGGAACATCATAAAAACCACCGCCTCGGGGATCGAGCTTCGAGGGCCTCGGCAGGCGGTGGAATCGGGACGTGGCTGGCCCCACAGGGGCCAGAGTAAATCTATCGCCGCCGCCTGCCGAGGCCTCCGAAAATGACCCCCCCAGGCGGCAGATGCAGATACACATCCCCACCTCGGATTTCCCAAAGAAGCCGCCCACGGCGACCACGCAGCCAGGGACCCACCGAGCCGACAGCGAAGCCCGCGGAGAAACCGGCCGAATGCGACAGACTGTGGCGCGGCCGACCCCGCACCAGACCGAACCGCGGGCGCCTGGAGCTCTCCTCGGTCTCGGCCCCCCCTGACCGCGAGGCGGTCAGGATCGGTCCCGGGGCCAGAGGACGTCCGCGGCCCCCTGGGGCCAGCGGACCGAAGAATGCTGGCCCACTGGGATCGGCATCGAGCCTGGAGGTCCCAGCACCAGAGAGTGACCCTTAGGCAGGGATGGCCTTTGGTGCGCGGCCTTGGGCGGGCGCGGTGGGAGGGTCAAAAACCAAGCGAGGAAGACGCCGCTACTGCATCGCTCTCCTCCAGCGAAGGTGCTGAGGGAAAACGTTCGGGGGCGGGCGGCTCAGGGGTGGAGGAATCGACCTGCAATCGGCGATGCATCGACGACAGATCGGCGATAGGCCCCCGATAGCGAAACCGCACGGTCCTGCCCCTATCGGCGATCGTTGGGCGATTGGGGGTCGATGCATCACCCCCTGTGCCTATCCACTCTGGACGTTGCCCCCGAGGTACACTCTTACGTGTAGTCGAGATGAGCTGCCCGAAACTGGCCCAGGCCCTTGGAGCGAGCACCCCTAGCACGCGGGCGCTGAAATCCCGCCCGTCGCCCGAGTCGGTGGTGTCCTCGTCGATGCTCTTGGGCGGCGACCACGATCCGCGCAGAGAGCAAGCAGCTGTGTCCGCGGCCGGCGGCGGGGCAGGGGTGCTCAAGAGCGAGCCGTCCCGCCTGTGGGTGCTGGGAGCCCGCTGGTCGCTCAGAGCTGCTGCTGTGTCCGTGGCGGTGCCCTTGGGCGGCGACCAGAGCCCGGGCTGCGAGCAAGCGGCTGTGTCCGCGGCCCGCGGCGGAGCAGGGGTGCTCAAGAGCGAGCCGTCCCGCCTGTGGTTGCTGGGACCCCGCCGGTCGCCCAGGGCAGCTGTTGTGTCCTCTGCGATGCCCTTGGACAGCGGCCAGAGACTGGGCTGCGAGCAAGCGGCTGTGTCCGCGGCCCGCGACGGGGCAGGGGTGCTCAAGAGCGAGCATTCCCGCCTGTGGGTGCTGGGACCCCGCCGGTCACTCAGAGCTGCTGCTGTGTCCGTGGCGGTGCCCTTGGACTGCGGCCAAAGCCCGCGCTGAGAGCAAGCGGCTGTATTCGCGGCTTGCGACGGGGCAGGGGTGCTCAAGAACATCGCAGTGGTATCGGCCTGGCGGGGGGGGTACACCTCGGAGGAAGCTCTGGCCAGGGGCGCACCGGTGCTCAGGATCATTGCAGAAGTACAGCTGTCCTCCTTTGAGACAATCTCGGGCCCAATTGCCTCGAGCCCCAAAACTACGGACTTGGGGAGCAGCGGTGGGAAAAAAGAGTGAGGACGAGGAGAAAACAAGAGGCAACATTGACAAAGAAGAAACAGGAAGCACGAAAGGATGTGAGTGGTCAGCGCCCTTGCCCTTTAACTCTGCTAATGCGTAATCAAGCACGTTCCAACTCATCCCAAAGGTCATAGTCCCGATGCCGCGGTTCAGAAAGCCACAATTGAAGGCGAGCGAAAACAAGAAGACCATCCCGAGCCATTGCACCTCCGCATCAACGGTGACACCTGACGGCCCACGAAATTGAGCCCCGACCCCGATCCTTGCCCAAAGGCCCCAGGGCGATCTACAGTCGGGGCGTTGACCTAAGGAACCCTAAATAAGGAACGAGGCCCCTTTTTTCTCATAAGTTAAACATCGATGTCCCACGGAAAACATCAGGAAGGCCTGAGGCAAACTGTTAAACAATCAAGGAACACCGAGCCCCTCCCCAACGAAAAGGGTTCCTTCTTCAGCGCCCCGACTGTATAGAGCCTACATGCGACCCCGATCCGCCCCCCCCCCCCCTTGGGCCGACCTGTCGGACATGGGGCCCGGGATCGGGGGTGAAGTCTTCGGGCCCAGAGAACAAGAACCTCAGGAGGTTTTGGGAACCTTCAGTGGCCTCATGCCAGGGAGACGCAAGACTCGGGCACGGGAGACTCGGGTTGGCCCGACGGGGCCATCACAAAAATGACGAGGCCGCCAGGCCCAATCGGAAATATGACGCGAGCTCCCTCTGCAGACATCCCACGACGCGCTCGTCAAAAACACGCTCTCGTCAAAAACACGTCAAAATCCAGGACGCGCTCGTCAAAAACACGTCGGCAATCCGCGTTCTGGCCTACTCGGGTCCCGCGTCTCCCCGATCATGGACGGCCTGGTGTCCCGCTGGCAACGCTCCCGTGCAAAATCTGGGCTCACGCACTTGAAGCTTCATCCTGAAAGCTTCACCCTGAACAGGACTGTTGAAGTTCAGGCCCTGCGCGGGCCCTCCGAACATCCATCCTCTGTCGCGTTCTGTATTGTCCACACAGGAAGGTCGCCATTCGCCATGATGGCCGCGCGCGCCGACCAGGGCCGGCGGGAGTTCTGCCCGCAGAGCATGGCTGACGACTTTGAGCAAACTTGCGCATCAACATGAAGCAATTCCTAATGCAATCCTCGCCGCTTACGAATCCTCCAGCGTGCAAGGAAAACCACAATAGATTATCCGTTGGATGACGAATCACCACAGATTACCCAGCTCGCCAAACAAGAAAGGGAAATTCATCCCACGTCGCCGCGCGCGCCGACAAGGCTTTGGCAGGAGTTCTGCCAGCAGTGCTGATAGGCAAACGAGTTTGCGCAAATTCGCAAATCAGCACGAAGCAAAACATATTCATGATGGCCGCGAACCAGATCGGGGACCGAGAACCAGCCATCGACCTGAACTGCCAAACCGGACTGGCCCTCGACCCGAACCGGCCGAACCCAGACCGAACCGGCCCGACGAACCGAAGCGGCCGGACCGACCCTGCCCGACGAACCGAACCAGCCGAACCGGACGCAACCACGTCAACGGGTCGCGCGAGCGGGTTAACCTTGAACGCCTGAGTGGGCGGGCCTGGCGGACCGCTCGAAGGCGGGCCCTTTCGGCGCCCCCCCCGCGCGAGGGCAGGGGGGGCCGCCTCCAGGGTACCCGTGTCCCTCGCGGACCACCTCACCAGCAGTCAGCCGCCCGTCCCCCCTGCCGAAGACGAGCCCATCAGGGTTCCAAGAGGGTCACCGCGACCCCACGAGGGCGCCAGGCTACCCCCCCGTGGCCACCCCCTCGTGGCCACCCCCCCGTGGTCACCCCCCCGTGGCACCCCCCCTTGGCCACCCCCCTGCCCCCCCCCCCTGGCCAACTCCCTGGCCACCCCCTCGTGGCCACCTCCCCGTGGCCACCCCCCCCTGGCCACCCTCCCGTGGCTACCCCCCCGTGGCCACCCCCCCTGGCCCCCCCCCCCGTGGTCACCCCCCCGTGGCCATCCCCCCTCGTAAACATCTTCACACGTGGATTGTAATGTGGTGTTGCAATATCCATGCGAAGATGCTTACAGATCGTCCCGCGTGCACGGTGGCCCAGCATAGGTTATGCCGATGGGAACATAACCCCAAACATGATCCATCCCGAAGAACAATAGAGGGGAACTTATCCCATGTCGCCGCGCGCGCCGACCTGGCGCCAGCATGAGTTCTGCCAGCGGTGTTGGGCAAACGAGTTTGAACAAATTCGCAAATCAAAACGAAGCAAATGTTATTGCAATACTCGTGAGAAGATGCTCAAACCAGGGTAGCCCACAATTCATTATTCCGACGGAGAAAAGAGACCCCAAACATGATCCAGCCCGCCCGACAATAGAGGGAACCAAATCCCATGTCGCCGCGCGCGCCGTCCAAGCGCCAGCAGGAACTCCACCGACACCGCTAGGCAGGTGAGTTTGAGCAAACTCGCAAATCAAAAATGAAGCACATGTGCATTGCAATCTTCAGGAGAAGATGCTCACAAATCCTCCCGCGCGCAAGACAGCCCACGATGGACTACTTCGTGGGAGGATTAACCCCCAAACATTACCCACCCCGTCCAACAATATAGGGGAACGAATCCCACGTCGCAGCGCGCGCCGACCACGCGCCAGCGGGGGCTCTGCCAGCAAAGCTAGGCAAACGACTTCGAGCAACCTCGCGAATCAAGAAGGAGAAATTCGCATTGCCATCCTCGTGAGAAGATGCTTACGAATCCTCCCGCGTTCAGGGTAGTTCACACTAGACTACTCCGCTGGAAAAATCACCCCCAAGCATTACCCAGCCCGCCCAAAAAGAAAGGGAAACTAATCTCACGTCGCCGCGCGCGCCGACCAGGCGCCAGAAGGATTTGTGCCAGAAGTGCTAGGCAAACGAGTTTGCGCAATTTCGCAAATCGAAGGAAGTCTGGTTGCAGTCTTCAAATATGAGAAGATGCGCAAACATCCTTCCGCGTGCAGGATAGCTCACATTGTAATATTCCGCTGGAGAAATAAACCCAAAAGATTACCCAACGCGCCCGACAATCGAGGGAAAATAATGTCCGCCGCGACGAGGAGGTCGGGGGACCAGTTTCAGTCACCGCCGGGAGATCTGGGGAAGGGGATCAAAACTGTAACCTCGTGAGGCTCATCGAAACTTCGATGCCCTGACCGCAGAACACAGGCTGGCTCCAACTTGTGCGTGTCCACCGACGCCTTGCGATACGACGCAGGCGGCTTGACGAGCGCCGTATCAGGCTGCGTGATGACCGTGGAGCTGCACGGGACGAACGCATGTTGGGCGAACACTGGGGTAACTCGAGGAGGAGATCGACTACAGAATTGATTCGCCCCGCAATTCCAATTCTCGCCGAATGTACTAACGATACACATAATGGCCCGTAGATCTACGGAGCATCCTGCGTCTGTGTTCGTGGATCCGACCAACAAAATCAATCTGGATATAACTCACTTCTGCAGCCGACCCTCCACTCGAATAGTGGGCTCCAGCATTCGCATGGATTTCCGTTCGGACGCCCGAAGTGGGCACGGAAAGAATGAGCACAATGCCCAGCAACACATGCTGTCCCAAACCAACAGCGGCCGCTGTTGGGCGGGCGGCCTCCTGTCTCAAATGGACACAGGCCGCGGCGGCGCGGACAGCGAGTCCTGTTCAAAATGAACAAGATCCGCTGTTGGGCATTGTGTGCTCATTCTTTCCATGCACATTTCGGGCGTCCAGAACTTCTCGATGTCCGCGCACACTTCCAGGACCGGCGCCGGGAGGGGCGGCGCCGAGGGCGCAGCCACTGGGCCTGGCGCCGACCCCGGAAATATACCCGTGCGGGGCGGCGGGCAGCGGAAGAGGCTCTGGAGCGATCCGTCCCCGGTCCTCGCCCGAGGACCGATCGCTTGGAGATCGAAGATTTGTTTTGAGCTCCACGCTCTGTCCGCTACGTTTAGCGAGGCACCCTACGGCGGGGGGAGGGCGCCAGCAGGCGGAAAAAAGGTCCGCCACGGCACGCACCAGAGCCAAAGGGGGCGGCCTGGTGAGCCGCAGGGCCATGGACGGGAAGGGGCAAAGCCACCCCAAGCCCTGACGCAAAAACAGTCGATCGTGTCGCTAGCAAGCCTGTGAGCTTTCTGTTTCTGCCCGACGGGACCCCTGGAGCAGGCCCCCAGAAGCCTCCTCGGCAGGAGGGGGGCGGGCACTGTCGGCGGTGGGCAAACCTCCCTTTCGTAAACCTCCCCTTAGTGAAAACGGCCTGGGACCGAAACCGACGGACCTGGACCCGCAAAAATGACGGCCGCGACGCCCCCTCGCGAACCGAACACGGCGCAAAAATGACGGCCGCGACGCCCCCTCGCGAACCGAACACGGCCAATTCGCCAACCGACGCGCCGTGGCAGGAGGCCCGTCCGCCCCCGATAGCTGGAGGAAGCCATGCCCCCGGCCGCGCCTCGCCGCAGCCCGGGCCCCGTGGGGGGCCCCCCGCGGGCCCCAGGACCGGGGGGACCGCCGTCTCGGTGCGAAGGAGGGGCCGTCGAAAGAAGCGCCGGGACCTCCCCATGCAAGGAGGAAAGACTGGTCTACTCTGTAAGAACGATTTTTTGAAGGCAGATCTGCCTTCCAAAAACCGTTCTTACAGGTCGGGCGCGCTTCCCGCAGGACACCCCCCGTCCTGCTCGGCGGGGGCCCCAGCTGCGGCTGCCACGAGGTCCAGCCCGGCGGCTGCGCTGGCGGCGGCCGCTGCTCTCTGGAACGGCCAATCGGGGGTTGCGAGAAGGGCCCCTGGCCCAGGGTGCACCCAGCTGTTCGCTTCATTTCGGAGCCCCTGGGCCCGCTGGGCCTCGTGCGGGGTTCTCTGGAGGCCGTGGTCCTCCGGAGGCCCGCGCGGCTTCGTGGGGTCGGCGCGGACCTCCCTGGGCGCGCCACGGGCGGCGCTGGAAGCGCCACCTGTGGGGCGTGCGTGTGCCGCACCGATGCAGGATACCCGCGCGGACCTCCGAAAGCTCATGTTTAGGTCAATTCGGGTGGTTCCCCTAGATCGGGGTTGGGCCCCCGATAGCGAAACAGCACATTCCTGGGCGGAGTGGGCTATCGGGCCCTTTCTCGGCGATCCATGGGCGATTGGAGGTCGATGCCTCCCCCCGTTGAGCCTGATTACCTATGTGTGGCAGCAACTCTCCTCCGATATGCTTGTGGGGCTTGAGCCACACATGAGACGGAGTGCTCGTCCACACGCGAAACCTACATCATCGAATCTGGCATGCTTCCACACGTGGTGATCGCTGATCCCCCGAGCAGCCCCCCGCGGCCCCTCCGAGGAGCCACCGTCCTGGACCCACAGCGGCACATCGCGGTTCGCCTCGCGGTCCTCGGACGGGGAGGGGGGCTGAGGGGTGGCAAAAGCATGGCCGCCGCTCATCTAGTCAACGTCTGGACAGGGACCGACCGTCCCGGCACTCCTATAGTCCTACCACGAAGTGTTCTTAGAACCCAAATATGCTCCAAGAGCAGAAGCAGTGTTCTTAGACCGTAAGCCCGATGTGATAAAACAAGACAGTCCCAACCAGAAGTGTTCTAAGAACATGTCGTGGGAACCACACAAGGTTCTTAGAACGTCGTTTCGTAAGAATATAGGCACGCCAAGACGCTTCGCCACTGCTTGAAACGTGTTGTCGCAACAGGAGGAAAATCGGCATGCAGAAACATAGACTCTTGGAGTCCCGCAAACGGATTTCTTGGATCGACGCTGGGCCCCCCCTCCCTGGCGCGCGGAGCTCGCAAGGGGCAGCGCCGGAGGCGCCGCTTGGGGGTCCGCAGCGCCGATCCAAGAAGTCCGCGAGGAGCCCCGGAAGTGCATGTTTGTGCTGTTTGTTCCTTGGACGTGAGGAGCGCTGGGTCAGCAACGAGTGGACTTTTCTGAACACGGCGAGCCTCGGCCATCAACAGGCTCCCCCACCCAGATCTATTGAACGGCCTGGGCACCAGAGCCTCTCCCGAAGTCAATGTGGTCCTTACTTCAAAATGTTGGCTGTCAGCATAAACTGTCAGCGGTCCGCGGGTTCTGGGATCTTCGCCGAACTGATCTGGCGGTGATCCAATCCATTCGCGCGGACCTCCATATTTGTATGGTCATGCCGATCTCTCTTCTTGCCAAATGCAGCGATGTATGCGGACCTGCACCCGAAACATAATACAGACTGCTTTGATAAGCGTTTGACGCTCGCAAGCCATCCAGAATAGCGCCATTGAACTCAGCATGACCCCGAGCGGTCGTAGTCGCGAGGAAGCTCGCAAGGCGATGGTGGTGGCGCTCGAAGATCCGAAACTACGCGGTGAGGTTCGCAGTCCCGTCGACTGCCTCACGCCGAGGCGGGCGCTCACTGCTAGGTCTCCGGGGTCAGGGACAGAACCACGTCACCATGTTCGCAAGCGCACCCTCGCAGGCACCATGTCACCATGGCACCAGAATTATTGTATCCCACAATTAACCAGCTTCGACCTTACCCTATCCCTGAGATGGGCGAGCAAAAAGCGAGAACAAACTTAGAGATGTGCCTTCAGAAACGGAGGGAATTCGTAAGATCGGCATCGAGGTGAGGTGATGCCAAAGATAGGGATAGGGATGTGTTTCGAACTGGTAAACAATGAGCCACTTCATCACCGACCCAGCAATCCTACTGACGGAGCACATGCACTGCGCGGCAGACCAAGGCCCTGCGCAACGGCACGCGAGCTGTAATCCCTACAAGAAGGGCCAAAGAAAAACAGGCTCGTTGACCACAGAGCGCGCCAGAGGTAGAATACAGTAGGGGCCCGACCACAAGAAACGGTCCACAAGAAACCCAACCCTGAGAACCCAGGAGGCCCATTGATTTTTGGTGTGGGAACGCCACGCTTCCCATCGCAAAACCATCGATACCCAAGAAACCCAGGGCACCCTGGAGGCAAGCAGGGTGTTTCTTGGCATGGGCCCCCACCGTAGTGGAGACTCAGGAACCAGTCAGTATCTCTGGCCGATGACGCACGCGCGAAAACCCACAGTGCACAGAGCCGCGGGGCAGTCAATGCAGAGCCCTCAACAAGGTTCGGGACCGGTTCGATCGAAGACGAAAGCGAGAACCGGACGGAGCCCAGCTGGGAGGCCAGCCTCCTCCCCGGCCGAACTCGGCGAGTTCACAAAAGCAGGCTCCAGAAGCCAGGGAGGACGGAGGAAGAACATGGAGGGAAAGGAGAGCCGTCTCCTCTGACATCACGGCGCGACCCGGCCAAGATCTGATGGGGGTTCCAGCCGTGGTGACGTGAGCGCTCTGGGAAGCCTGAACCTCCAGCCTCGAACCTCGAAACCAGTTTTGTGATATGCGCTTCGCGGAGCCGTCTAGGAATGCTGCGGCTTTGCCAGCCAGCAGACGACACTCGGGCTCTGACAATGGCGAACGACGACGACGACGACGTCGACGCCGACCGCGTCGACCACGGCGAATTCAACGACGAACTTAAATCGCAAACATGGAAGCTCGCGAGATGGGCAAAATGCCCCGTCGGGCCGCTATCCGCGTCAAAGGAGCGTCAAATACACTTGTGCCCCCCATCCTAAGTGCGGCTAGTGTCTTTTTCAGACTCCAATCGAAGGAACAGGGGCTTCACCCATCCTCCTCCTCCTCCTCCTCCTCCTCCTCCTCCTCCTCATCATCATCATCATCATCATCATCATCATCATCATCATCATCAGCATTATCATCATCATCATCACCACAATGATCATACGATCGGCCTCTGGTGCTCCCCAACGAGAACCACCATCTTCACTTTTTCGCTCCTGGTGCTCCACTGCTTTTATGATCCAGCCTTGTTGGCTGCTGGGGCTCCCACACGTAAAAATGTCGCCACCTTTCGTGTCCCAAGAGGGCCTCCCGCTTTTGTTATAACGGATCTCAAAAACGGTGTAAACAACAATCCATGTGTGTTCGAACCTGGTGCTCCCAAGCGAACAACCGTCGTCACTACTTGGCTCCTGGTGCTCCAAAGCGTGGCAGTGCCGTGACTTGTGGATTCACGAGGCAACCACGGGCAAAGCTGCCCTCTCCTTCGGCCATCCATTCAGACCTGCAGCCATAGGTTGAAAAAAGGAGGCGGCGATCGAAATATCTATGTATATATATATATGTGTATATATATATGTATATACAAATCTATATGTGCACAATTCGTTCGGGCTAGGTTGGCCTCGAGTGTGAACAATTAGATTCCCATCACAGTGTTTGCACTTTGGGTCTCTTACGTGTCTTCTGAAAGACCTGGCCAGGCCCGCGGGCCGCTCAGGCCGCAATGTCGCCGCCTCGTCGCCGTCAGTCGCCTGCGCCTGCGGGCCGCTCCGCCTGCCATGCGGCCACCGTCGCCGCCTCGTCGCGCCCGCCGCCTCGTCGCCAACCGCTTTGCCTTGCTTTTCGCATGGCTTTGACTTGCTTCACTTTGGCATTGCTCTGCGTCATTGCATTGCAGTCGCACCGCATTGCGCTGCATTGCATTGACGTGCTTTGCTTTTCACTCCTATGCCGAGCTTTGTGTTGCTGTGCATCGCGTTGCCTTGCATACATTGCACCCCCGAGAGTGGTTGCACAACCTAGATTGCACTGCAGTGATTGCACCACCTGGATTTCGCTGCACGCGCTTGCCCTGTACTGCGTTGATTGCAGTGCCGACATTCGAATGCGTGGGCTGCAAGAGATCACGGGTTGGGATCCACGCTAACTAACCATGTACATATGTATGCATATATATGAATATATATACATATATATATACCCATGTTGTCCGACACAGTGCCTGCGCGGAGCGGGCGTGTTTGATTGCTCGGTTGTCGTCGAATGCTTTCTAGCTCACCCCCTCGACCCGCTCACGGTCCGAACATCGCCCCCCTGAACTTGCTCTCCGGCGTTCTGCTCTGCATCCAGACGGCAAATATGGTTCCCAAGGCGGCTTCCAAGGCAGCCACGATGACATCCAGACGGCCCGAGATGGCCAAAGACGGTCTAAGAAGCTCTCAAGGCGGCATGAAGACGGCCTAAGGGTCCCCAAAGACGGCCCAAGAGTGCCCAAGATGCCCTCCAGGAGAGCCCGAGGAATCAACAAATATGGATTGAGGTTCTCGCCTCTTTCGGTTTCCGACCGCCCAGGACTGCCCAAAAGGACCTCCAAAATAGCTCCAAGACAGCCCATGAGGCCCCCAGATGAGGGCCCCAAGCAGGCCCAAGAGGACCCCAAGATCGCCCAAGAGCCTCCCGAGAGGCCTCCAAGACGGCCCTGAAGCGCTCCAAGGACAGCAAGACGACCCAGAGAGGCCCCCAAGGCGGCCTCCGAACGCGTCAGACGGGCCTAGAGACCCTCTACAACTGCCCAGGAGGCCCCTGGAGGCCTCTGCGGCGCACGCTACGTCGTCTCACAATGCATGATCTGGGCCAGAGGCGAGCCCCATGCGGAGCAAGCACGTGCGGGACATGCGGTGCGAGCCCTCTGATGTAAGCCATGTGATGTTAGCCATGCCGTGCAACGGGCGCCCACGGGGCGGCCCACGGGTGCCATCACATGCTAGCCATGTGATGTAAGCCCACGGGCGCCCACTCGGCGCCCGTGGGCCTACATCACTCACATCACTCGGCGCCCACTCAGCGCCATGTGATGTGAGCGGGCCAGCCGGTGCCAGCTCCGCGCCCACGGGCGCCCACCGGGCGCCCGCGAGGCGGCAGCGTGGCGCAGCCTCGGCCGACCCGCCCGGCGCACGGGGCGCCCACGAGCGCCCGAGGTGGCGGCAGCGCGGCGCCCACCTCGGCCGACGCGGCAACAAGCGCACGGGGGCGTCCAGGCGCGCCCGCGAGGCGGCACGGGGCGGCCACGAGGGAAGCCCCCGGCCGGTGCGTCAAAGTACGTGCGTGACAGAAGCAAGAACCCCTACGCGTGTGGATGCCATGACAATGGACACCCTAACAATCCGATTATTGAACTAAATATGTGTTTGAAATGTTTGAGCATGTTCCGAAACTAGTTTGAACATGTGTTCAATCGACATGTTTAAAACACTGTTCAAGCCATGTTTCAGACATCTGGGAATTATTTGGCAACATGCTTCCTCGCCAATCATCGTCCCCTACAACCCTAAACGCAAGCACCTGTGGGGAAGATATGCACGCATTGTGCTCCACACATGGTGTGCTCCACCGTAGTCGTCGTCACGTTTGAGCTTCTGATGTCCCCCGACGTTGAAGTGACTCGTTGGCCCCTGGTGCTCCAAAGAGTGGTGTTGCCGTCACTGCTTGTGGCTTCTTGCTTGAGCTCTCCGCCATCGCATGCCCTTTGGTTCGCTGGCCTTCATGGGGCCGTGGTAAAAAAAACGGAACGAAGACCAGCGCAACATCGGACTGGGCCAAATCGGGGATCCCTGAGACATGGCGGCTCTGGATGTTGGGCACCGGGCGCTACGGCCGTTCCGTTCCAGAGCGCTCTGGAACGATCTCTCAGGGCGTCCTCGAACTTCCAGGAGAGACCTGACACCCGGTCATGGCCCCCGCCCGACGTGGGTCTCCGACAGGAGACCACTTCGTGACCTGCGCCCGTGTGGCTGCGCTCCGCCTGTGCGGCGCGAGGGGGCGCGGCGCAACATCGGGGGGGGGCCCAGCTCGGGGGAGGCAGCATCGCGGTGGAATCGGCGATGCATCGCGGCAGATCAGCGATGGGGCACCCGATGGCGACGCCGCAGGCTCCTGGGCGGGGTCCTAACTTGGGTCTCCCGCGGCCGCTCGGGACGATCCAGGCAACCCCAGAACGCTCTCGGAGAGGCGCAGCTGCTGGAACGCGTCCCGAGGCTGGAAAGCCGCCAACGTCCGACGAACACGCACGAGAACCTCGCACCTCGAGCCCGAAACGCTCCCCCCCTGACCCCCCCCCACCCGAACTCTTGCCCTGAACCCTTGCGCCCGCGTTCCGACTGTGACAGCGCAAGGCGGGCGGCGACGGTGGCGCGCGCCCGCCGGCGGGCTGGTGGGGGCCTGGAGCGCCAGGCTCGCCTCCACGTAGAAGGACTGCGTGACGGCGCTGCCGAAGCCCGTCTCGCCCTCGAACTGCACCTCTCCTCCTCCTCCTCCTCCTCCTCCTCCACCTCCACCTCCTCCTCCTCCTCCTCCTCCTCCTCCTCCTCCTCCTCCTCCTCCTCCTCCTCCTGCTCCTCCTCCTCCTCCTCCTCTTCCGTCTCTCCGCCAGCGGGCCACCTGCTGGGGGAGCTGGTGCTCCGTCAGCGCCACCCTGATGGGTACTCTGGGAGGGGCTCGATGCACACACCGAAGGAGCTTGCCGTATAGACGCCACAGTTCCCCTACCTGTGGGACGCAGGGCCTTCTCGAAGCGATCCTTATTATTCGGGCGTCTTGACGTTAGACCAGGATCTGCATCTCCCAAGACTACTTTCAACGACCGGCGTGTGCTCTGACCTCTGACCTCTGACCCACCTCCTCCCGATGGTGCCACGAACCATGAGAGGTGTGTACCGAAAAATGGGTGGCGCGGACGCATGGGAACGTCGCCACTGGGGCCTTCGCTGGAGCTCCCGATGGGGCCACGCAGCGTGTGAGGGGTGTGCCAACATGGGTGGCGCGGACGCATGGGAACATCGCCACTGGGGCCTTCGCTGGAGCGCCCGATGTGGCCACGAAGGGTGTGAAGGCTGCGCGAAATGGGTGGCGCAGACCCGATGGGGCCACGAACTGTGTAAATGGGTTTGCCGAAATGGGTGGCGCGGACGCATGGGAACGTCGCCACTGAGGCCTTCGGTGGAGCACCCTCTGGGTCCACGAACCGTGTGAGGGGTGCGCCGAAATTGGTTGGCGCGGACGCATGGGAACTTCGCCACTGGAGCCTCAGGTGGAGCCCCCTATGGGACCACGAACCGTGTGAGGGGTGCGCCGAAATGGGTGGCGCGGACGCATAATAACGTCGCCACTGGGGCCTTCGGTGGAGCACCCTCGGGGTCCACGAACCGTGTGAGGGGTGTGCCGAAATGGGTGGCACGGACGCATGGAAATATCGCCACTGGTGTCTTAGGTGGAACTCCCGATGGGGCCACGCAGCGTGTGAGGGGTGTGCCAACACGGGTGGCGCGGACGCTTTGGAACGTCGCCACTGGAACCTTAAGTGGAGCTCCCTATGGGGCCACGAACCGTCTGAGGGGTGTGCCAAAATAGGCGGCGCGGACGCATTGGAACGTCGCCACTGGGGCCTTAGGTGGCGCTCCTTATGGGGGCGCAAAACGTGTGAAGGGTGTGCCAATATGGGACGGCGCCGCCTTGCGAACTGTGCCACTGGGGTCTTGGGTGGAGCTCCTAGTGGGGCCACGAGAGAGGTGTGAGAGGTGTGCCGAAATGAAATGTCGATGATGGTGACGATAATGGCGATGCGGATGAGAATGGCGATGATGGTAATGAGGACGAAGACGGTAATGATGACGGCAAAGTTGTTGATGATGATGATGACGATGTTGCTGCTGCTGCTGATGATGATGACGATACTGCTGATGATGATGATGACGACGTCGATGTCGATGTCGAGACGATGATGATTACGATGATGATGATGACGATGATGATGATGATGTTGATGATGTTGATGATGATGATGATGATGATGATGATGATGATGATGACGATCCATGATGATGATAGAAAAAAAGGGAGGGGGGAGGAGGAGGTGGGAGGGATGCGGGGCGCTGTCTCTTCAAAACGAGGACCCAACAGTACAGGATGGTTGGGAACAATACCGAGGGTCCTGGCTGGAGCAGCCCGTCGCAGCCGATGGGTCCCCCAGGGCTTGAGCCGCACAATGAGTTCGTTGCCGTGTTGTTGTCGTTTGCCCTCGTTCTGTGCTCGTTCCGCCGCTGGTGCAAAACAACATCGAAACGAAAGCGCTCCACGAAATCGCCAAATCACGGTGTGGCTCGAGCCCTGGACCACAGCTCCCCACGCTGGGGCTGGTCGCTGATCGCCTTCTTGCTTGGCGGGGGGGGTTCAGCGCGGCAGGGGGGAAAGCAACGGCGGCTGAGGGGTGCACGACTGAGTGCAACAGCGCAGCCCCCGCGCACCAGAATCCTTATACCACAGCTTCGCCCACGACCCCCATGTCCACACACACACACACACGCCAGAGCGTCGACGGCCCAGTGGTGTCCCACATGAGCGGCCCATGTGACAGGGGTCACGGTTCCTGCGGCGACGCAGTCGCTGAGACTGGAAGGGCAGGGCCGGTCGCAAAGGGTCCAGCACGAGCTGGGACCAGCGTGCGATCGGGTGCTGCTGCAGCCGGTGGCAACGCTGTCGGGGCGTCTTCCGTGACGGAGGGGGTCGCGGATGCGAGGCGGGGTTTTATCCATATGCCCACCGCATGGGGACCCGACGTCCTGCAAACCCCAGGGGGTGGTGGGTCTGGATCCGTGTTGGTCCCGGGGAGGCCAGATATTCCCGTATCCACCACCCGCCAAGGTCCCCCGGGCGGTGGCTATGAATACATCCCCGCCTCGGATCTCGTGACCCGCCCCGGCTTCGGCCCCGGCCGCGGCCCGAGCCCCTGCTCGAGGCTCCCACAAGAGCCCCAGGGAGGGCTCCAGGGCGTCACCGACGTCGACGCCGCCGCCGCCGCCGTCGTCGCCGTCCCCCTTCAAGGTCGGCGGCATCGGCCGCAAGGCCTTCCCAATACATCCCAGCCTCGGCTCCCGTGATGGAGGGCGTCGTGGCGGAGGACGGGACCCATCCACGGCTCCTGGGTGGAGGGAGCGCGCTCCTGCCGTGCGCCCACGCGCGCCGCCCAGCGGCGCCGCGCCGTCCCCGCCATGCGCAACGCGCAGGCGAGCCTCATCCCCGCCGGCGTGGCCCTGGCCCCGCGGGCCGACGTGCCCACCTGGGCGGGGATGTGTGCTGTGCCGTCCGGGTTTCGCGGTGCCCACCCCACCTGGCGGTTGGGAAGGCTGAGATAGCATAGCCAGGAGGTGGGGGTGGGGATCGGTGCCTCCTGGGGCTGAGGTGCCACGGCCCAGCAATGGGGGCGGGGATCGGTTGCTTCCACGATGCTGCAGTCGTGAGCCCCCTCCTGGGGTGGGCAAGGCGGGCGATGTGGCGGGGCCGCAGGGCGGACTGGGTGCGGCCGCTGCGAACTCCCGCCCCAAGACGTGGCGCAACCTCGCCCCGGTGGACCCGATGACGGCCACGGGGGAGCCCGCGCTGCGGTGGGCGCTGACGGCCCCGCGGCTCGCGGGGCCGCCTCGGTCGGCGCGTCGGGATGGCGGTGGTGGTGGCGGCCCAGGAGTCTCTCACCCTGGAGCTCGAGGTGGTGGTCTATTAGAGGGGAACAGAGAACGACATGAACATCACAACTCGGAGGTCCGCGCAGATGTCTCGGGTAGGCGCTGGACTCCTCCCCCTGGCGCGCGGATATTGCCAGGGGCAGCGCCAGAGGCGCCGCCAGGGGGGTCGTCCAGCGCGGATCCGAGAAATACGCGCGGACCTCCGAGTCTTTTATGTTTATGTCGCTCTTCGTTCCCCTAGCCCAGGCCACCCCGACGTTCTGGCGGAGTTGCTTCCCCGTGCCACCTTCGGGCCGGGCGAAAGGGGGGATGGCAAAGGGGGGTTTGAGAATAAGCTTACGTAGCTGATTTTCCTGGCGCCTCCCGGCGCCGGGAGGCGCCCTCGTATCGAGGAATAGGCCCGGCGGCGGGGCCGAAACCAGCTGCATGCAGCAAATTTTGTAACCCCCCCTTTCCCTATCCCACCCTTTCGTTCGGCCCGACACCTTCTTGGGCAGTCGAGCCGGGGCCGCCTGTGGGCCGGGTCGTCCGAGCGATGCCAGGAGCTAGGGGCTCCTGGCATCGCTGGGAGCCCTTGGGGCTGCATCCTCGTGAGGCGCGCGATACCAGAGGCTCTCGATACCCCCGCTGTGAAGGTGGTGCCTGACACTCCTTGCAGTTCATGGCGCCATGCTTGATTACCTACCAGACCACCCCAACCCAACCCGAAGACCCGAATTTGACCCGAATTTCGGGTTGGGGGGGGTACGGGTTCCATGTGATTTTTATATGTTCCCCGACCCCCCCCCCCACTGGAAATCGAGGATAAATTTGGGCCTTCGGGTTGGGTTGGGGTGGTCTGGTGGGTGGTGAATGCTTACCTCTCCCTCCTCTGACAAGCCCCAGACGCGACGCGACCCTGCCGTGGGCGCAGACGCCGAGCGCGTGCGCCCCCCGAGGCCCTGGCGGGCGGCGCGAGGGCGCCTCCAGGAGGCGCCCGGCGCCCGCCAGCCGCGCCAGCGCCGCCTCGGACTGCCGCAGCAGCCCGTCGCCCTTCTGCACCCGCACCAGCGCGCTCTCCTGCGCGCCGAGGGCCCAGGGGAACCCCTCGAGCCAGGGAAAAAGCACGACACTCGAAGGCTTCCCCCTGCTTCCAGCCTCTCGGCAGTGGACAAACCTCCCTTTCGTGAACCTTCCCCTAGTGCAAACGGCCTGGGACCGAAGACGACGGACCTGGACCCGAAAAAATGACGGCCGCGACGCCCTCTCGCGAACCGAAAACGGCCAATTCCTTAATCGACGTGTCAGGGTAGGAGGTCTGTCCACCCCCGAGCCTCATGGGGGCCCTCGCCGGGCCTCGGGGCCGTCAAAAAAAACCCGCGCGGGGTGCAGAGCCGGTCCCCGTGGGGCACGGGCCCAGGCCCCCGGGGGTCGCGTGAAGAGAGAAGAACTCATGACGTCGGGGGCTAAGGAGGGGGAGGAGGAGGAGGAGGAGGAGGAGGAGGAAGAGGAGGAGGAGGAGGACGAGGAGGAGGACGAGGAGGACGAGGAGGAGGAGGACGAGGAGGACGAGGAGACCGAGGAGGTGCACGGGGCGATCGCACTCACACCATGGCGCTGCAGGTTCTTCACCACGACGGGCGCGCTCGCTCCATCTTCGGGCCCCTGGGCCCTCACAGAGCTCGATCTGGCTCCAGGACTGGCGCAGCAAGATGGGGTCGGTTGCGATGTCTCACGTTCGCTGCGACGTCGGATCTCAGAGTACTGTGCTCACGAGCGAGCGGCGAACGTATCCCTATCCACGAGCGGCGGATGTAGTGGTACGCACGACCGGCGACCGTGGTGAAAGCGCTGCTGAGTGGACTCACCGGCGGCGGACGCGTCCATACCCACGCGCTCGCGGTCTTGACTCCAGGGCGCGATTCCGTGGACACACGGCAGAATGGACACGTTCCGCGGGAAACCCACGAGGGAAACGCCCTGCATCCGCGGCGCCGCGGCCCGAGTGCCCCCCCCCACGCGAATGCGCTCTGAAAACGGAATTACAAGGGTATGCAAGGCTCCCATGATTTGCGGCCGAAGTCTCCTCTGTCCTCTTCCTCCTCCTCCTCCGGAGCCACTCTGGCTCAAGTCCGCAGGCCACCGTGGGGAATCCATCATCGTGTTGCCGTGGAGAGAGCACCATGCTGGGCCCGTCAGCACCAAATCGCGAGATCGGCTCGGATCGGAATGAACAGGGGCGCCGAGCTTCGTACCTCGCGCTGCGCGAAGAAGATTCGCGCCCTCGCGCCGCCCCCCGAGGGGAGAGGAGGAGGACGAGGAGGAACTTGGAGCCGAAGCGCAGCGCGCGAGTCGCGAGCAAACTTCGCGCCCTCGAGGGCGCCCCCGACGACTCTCGCGTGGGGCCGCGGCGGCACGAAGTAGGACTCGCGGCGGCGCGACCGCGCCAGGATTGGCGGCGCGCGCAAAGGGGTACAGTCAAGAACCCTAAAAAGGACGCGCGGTAAGGGCGCAAGACCCTTGGAAGCCGAAGCTGGGATTTTTGGGGGCGGCGGACGACGAAAACCCCAAGGACGCAAGAGCAAGGAAGAGCAAGGACGCAAGGGTACCCTGAGCAAAGTCCCGCGTCCTTACGAGGGTTTTTGACTGTAGGAGGGGGGTGGGGAAGGCCTCTCTCAGCAGGAGGCGGCCTCCCCGAAGGGCGCGGGCCTCGCGCCCACAGGTGGTAAGGCCCGCGCCCTCTGGGAAGGCGGGCTCCTCCGTCCAGGAAGCCCCCCCCCTCCCCCCCTGCCCCACCCCGCTGTGCGCGGCCGCGCTCGGATGCGCCACGACACCGTGCGAGCGCGCGCGCGCGCGGGCGGTCCGAGGCGCGCGCGCGCGGCGGCGGTCCGAGGCGCGCGAGGGGGGCCGCGGGCAGGGGCGAGCGGAGGAGGGAGGCCGCGAGGAGGGGGCGGCCAGCGGCTTCTCGCCCTCCCCCCTGGGGAGGCCTCCGAGCACGGCCTGCTGCTCGAGCTGGCAGCGAACAGCGAGCATCGTGCTGCAGCGGTGCTGCTGCTTTGCGGAGTCCTCCCGCTGCATTTCGGCATGCCGAGCAGCTGCAGAGCTCTCGGGTGCAGCGGCCCATGCAACGGGGAGCGGCCTCGAGCGTCACGGTCGGGCCCTAAGCCAGAAGGACGTCCTGCAAGCACATGAGATTGGGCAGCCAAACCAACCCAAGCCAGAAGGATCACTCGAGGGTACCCCCTCCCCCAGGATGCACCAGGATATCCAACAGTCACGAAAAACATTAGGGCAACCGGCGGAAGTTATTAAGACCCACCCAGGGGGTTATCTTAGCACCGCTCGAAAAAATCCAGGAGGGGGGATTTTCGCCGAACGAAAACTTTAGCACCGTGCCAAAAAGCCCTCAAAAATATGTATCCCCCCCTCCAGGCTTACTTTCAAAATATTGATCTCGCCTTAGTGCAGCGCACATTCGTTTCTTTAATGTGCACGGTTTTCACGGATTGAAGGCGGCGCGTGCTCAAAATGGAGCTCTCGCCTGAACGCCGCGCGCATTCGTTATTTTACAACACATGTACACGAGTTTCACGGATTGAAGGCGGCTCGTGTTCAAAATCTAGCTCTCGCCTGAGCGCCGCGCATATTCATTTTAAAACATGTGCACCGGTTTCCCAGATTGAAGCGGCGCCGCGTTGAGGCGAGAGCCACATCATCCTCAAAATGCGAACATGACGCTTCCGGTTCGGGGAAGTGTTATCCTTGTGCCAGAAGGGGGGGGGTCGTGATAACTTCCGCGAGCGACTCTCTCCGAAACAACCTGGATCTGATGCCTCGGTCCGACCGTAGAAGCGGCGGCGTGTCATTGGCACTTGTTCCCTCTCCGAGGAAGACCTCGGCGGCGCGCGCAGGACTTCCCAGGAAGGGGGGCGGGGGGCATCGTAGAAGGCAGGGGTGCCTCGGGGGGAGGGGGGAGGGGCAAGCTAGGTGCGCGCGCGTCATATCTGACGTCCTACCCCTCCCTCCCAT